TATAATATAAATAAGAAATTAAAGATAAATAAGATATATAAGATATATAAGAAATTATAGATCGCTAAGATCGCTAAAAAATTAGAGAAATCATAGAAAGTTGAGATCCATGATCGACAGGATCATCATTTGCTAATTGTAATTAGCGCAGTATTAATGCGTCATAACTAGACTATCACTAACAATATATTGAAGACTTTGAAAGAAGATAGCAATGATTTGATATCAGATTATCCTGCTGCTAAGTCTTATTTGCAAAATAAATTGTATCCAATATGCTTTTCTTGGGTTTATTGTTATATACAAACACAATTTACAGCTGATATTATAACAACTCAAAAAGCAGAATCTGAAAATAATACTATTAAATAAGATGATCTTCATATAGCTTCGTTAATTCGCCTTACACAATAAATTCATAATAGGTTAAAGAAGAAAAGACAATATGCCAAATTTGAAGATCAAAAAAATAAAATATTATGATTGGCATACAACATATTGATGAGAAATTTTTTGGATCAATTCTTTAGATATTAAAAGAATTTTTAACGCCTAATATACTGATAATTACTAAAAAGGAAATTTCTGAAAGTATTTTATATGAAGCAATACAAATTGACTTGAATTTAATTTTAAATATATTGGTAAGTTAATAATTTAATGGAATTATATGACAAAATATATTAATATTAATTTTAGCGAAGCTAAAATTGATATTAACATACTTTGGTATATGTTAATATGTGTATAAGTTACAAATTAATTTAAAATCTAATTAGTTTATTAATTTTTTCTTCTAGGATTTTGAAAATGATGCTTTTTAAAATAATGCTATTAAAAATAAATATGATTAAAAAAAAGTTACTTAAAAAACTTATCAAGAATATTCCAAAGTCTTTAATTACTAAAATATGACATATATAACAATCAATTAGTATATAACGTTAGCTTGCACAATATATTATTCTTTTACAAGATAGGAATCATATACGCATATGCTTAATATTAATTAATAAAGGAATTATTTGTCATTATTTTATCAAAATTTTACAACAAACAAGTCAGCTTTTTTCAATATTTCATTAATTCCATCAAGATGGTATAATGATTAAGTTGCACAATTATCTGTTGATGAAATATGTACTTTACCATCAATTCAATTATTTAGTAATTCTCAAAATAAATCTGTTTATAGAATTCCTAATATAAAGTATTCTTACTTGAATAAGATGCGCAGAGAAAATATTTTTACATCAGAATTAAAAGAAGTTATAAATGATCATTAATAATATGCAAGGGCTTATGAATTACAGAAAAAGGCTTACAATCTTTCTAAATGATTAGGACAAGAATCAGAATATATTAATTTACTCAATGATTTTATATATTTTATAGAAGTTAGTTTAAATGGAGTGGATGATAAGAAAAATACAGATGAAAGCTAAATAAAAATTTCCAATCCAATCTATGTAAAACCTCATAAAAGGCCATTTTAAAAAAAGTATAAAAGTTTTTTAAAAACTAGTCAGCCAAATGCAGAACTTTGTATAACTTTAGAAGATGTAAATCAAAATGATCACAGAATAAATAGTAAGCTTAATAATTCTAATAAGCAGTTGAAAAAAAATGTAGAAGGTGTAAGCAATATACAACATATAATAGACAGACATATAATATAGATTTGTCAACTTTACAATGAAATTAATCTAGAATTTCAAAAAATAATAGCATAAAGATGTATTTTATTTCTACTGTATAATTGTAATAAAATTGCTTTAATAATAAAGTTAATAATTTATATTTTTAAATATTTAATACAGTTAAGATTAACTGTAATATATTTATAAATGTTTTATATGGTTAATATTAACTGGATAGGAGTAATTATTCACAGGATGTGAGTTTTAGTAACACTGATAATTTTATTATTTTTTTTTGTGTAAATTTGATTATTAAAAGGTGAAAAACTAATGAAAATTTATACAATATTAGCAGTCTTCTAATCATCAACCAGATAAATGATTAACAAATAAGTACAGTCCCTGGCAAAAAGAATAGTGAAAACAAATTTTTATGATTTGTACAATTGTTATTTTTATTATAGTTTTTTTTATTTATTTACAAGATAAATACTAATAGCAACTTTTATATTATTTAATTAATATTTAATGTATTCTCCTTCTGCATCAATATATACTTTAACCCAGTTTGGCATGCTCTCAATGCATTGAAGTAATATCATCAAGATTGTCCCATTCCTGCTAAATTGTATTAAAGAATATATCGCAGGTGATATTTTTTTTTACCACTAAATATTTGACCTTTTTCTCCACTTTTCCCTTTAATACAGCCTATACATTTTCAATAGGATTCAATTCTGGGCTGTAAGAAGGCCAAAAAAGAACTTATCCTAAAAGATATTTTTCAAGTCACGCTAAATATCTCATAAGATATGTTTAGATTATTATCTTATTAGAAGATCCAGCTATAACTGCACATCATATTCACATTATTATACAAATAATTATCCAATATTCTTTGATACAAATAACGATCTAAATTTTCAGTAAACAAATAAATGCCAATTTTTCCTTTAATACTAATCGCTACTCAAACATGAATCTTGAATAGATGCTTTACTATGAGGACAATTGGTTACATATTATGAGACTATGCACATATGGTATTTCTAAACATCTGAAATATTGTTTTATTAGAAAAATAACTTTCTTATAATTGTAAGCAAATGATCACGTGATCTAGACAACCAAAAATCTTTTGCTTTTTGGGTCAAGAGAGGAACTTTTCTTAGAAGAACAGAAATATAACTAAGATTTTTGAGCTCACAACGTATCGTATGTTCATTAACATCAAGGTTGTGATCTTTTTCTTCCAATTTGACCTTAATTTTACCTGCTGTAGTAAAATGATTATGTTGCAAAATTTTTCTAATATGGCGACGTTGATTTAAAGCCAATTTCTTGAATAGCCAAGAGAGTGATCAATTAAAATATTTAACAAACTGACATATCATTGACATATGCGTAAAAGAATGCATAATATTTTAGAAAATTTCTTTGCATTATGTACTTTTTGGTCTCAAATTGATTTAACAGAGTTTCATAGTATTTCTAAAGAGCTTAGTATAGTTTCAGAAATAAAATCAAAATAAAAATAAATAACAAACCTTATTTTTTTAATTTACCTTTTAAATTAAAATTCTAATGCCTAATTTGGGCATATCATAAATGCTTAAATCAGCAAAGCAGTAAATCCGCAACCTAAAAATAAATGCAAATTTTACCACCATTTTTTTTCGCTGAGGACTATACAAATTATATTATCAAATATAAATCATTTAATTATAGATATATTTAATGACAAAAAGTACTACTTAAACTTGTTATCACACTTAAATAATAGGATGCTATCCAAAATCCCAACAGATACAATTAAATGTTCTATTTTATTTAATGTTACATTTAAAATACTAAGTTTAAGGCTAGTCTGTTCCATTTTTATTAATATCATTTACAAAATTAGCAGTAACATTATTTCATATTATTTATTAAACGTGCTGAATTTTTATCATATTCCTTTATTTATAATTTTCTTACAATTTAAAAGATAAAAATTATTTAAACAAATAAAATTGCATTGAAGCAAAAAAAACAATTATTAATTAAATAATCCAAATTTTAATTAATACAGAACAATTGATATAAATCATTAAAATATGAAATATATGCAAAGTTTTCTATAAAAATTTACTTTCTCGATTTCCTTTTAGAAATTATTTTACGAGTGTCTTGTATAAAATTAAATATACTTATCAAAAAACTTCTAATAGCTAATTTAAGCTTTAATAAAAATAAATAATTATAAGATATCGCATTAATTGTAAACCAACTCTTTTAAATTTTTTTAAAAAAAAAAGTTTTATTTATTTAATTTGAAAAATAAAAAATGATTTAATTTAAAAAAAATTTACAAACCTGAATAAATATATCAAAATATATTAGGAATATCTGCAATAATAAAACTAATAAAAACCTGTCCAAAATAATAATAATATTATTGAATCTTTAGATAACTTTAAACTAAATTTAGTTACAAATAAAATATTAGATTTGATCTAAATGGATTTAAAACATCAACATCAGCTCCTGCTAGTATAGTGGACAGTATTAAAACTATTTGATGATAATTTGTCAAATCTAAAAATGAATTTTTTCATCATTATTTAAAATATATTTTTCTTAAAAAATATTATTCAAAAGTCATGAGGAAGGAAATAGCTAAAATTAGAACTTATCTTAAAGATTTACTAACTGTTAAGTTTAATTCATTATTAATAATTGCATATTCACTATTCAGGATTTTTGCAATTTTTACATCACTTTATTAAAATTTAGCATATAATTATTTTTTAAGTTAATACTTCCTTCTTCTTTTTTGGATTTATAAAAGCAGTTAAATATATCTGTTAAAGTTCTAACAAGAGGTTGCCTATTTTTATAAGTAGAATTAACATATCATTTTACCTGTGCTTGACTATTTTACAAAAAATCAAAAAATCTCATAATCTAATCCAAATAAAAGTTTTGTAATAGATAGAGATTTTTCATATTAGTATAGACAAAAGAAAATACAAAAAGAAACTTCAAAAAATAATAAAAAGAAAATAATTCATTAAAAATTATCAAAATACTAAGTATATCTTATAATATATTTATTTTCCAAATTAAACTAGTCAGAAAGGTCAAAAAAAGATTTATAAATAAAATATCTTCCCTTATTTTTCATCTTAAAAAAGTAATCCAGAATAATATAAACTCATAACATGATTTAATAGTATAAAAAAGGTAAATAATCAATTCTTATTAGAACTTTGAACAGGTCAGATTAGATCAGGTAATTGACTTAACCCAACCTGATAAGGTCAGGTTTTTTGGGAGTATCAATGTAAGAACCTCCAAAAGCTCGACAAAGTGTATATGATTCTATAAGTATCATTTATAATCGGAGAAGGATTTTACCTGATTCTTCTTTCGAATAGCTCTCGATCTTTTGATCAATTTCTACACCAGATTGGGTTATATGCTCATCTATATATTGTTCTGAAAGAATTTTACGTTAGTAGCTTCTATGATATAGATAATGATATTTGGCAGTATAGTTTGCCAGATCTGAAGGATCACCTGATCCATTATATTTGTAAGATATATATGTAGCATTTACGACTAATGCTGATTCTATTTGATCTTTTCTATGAAGCTCTTCTTTGAGAATATTTGTAATTGCATTACGTGCTGATGCTATGAGGTGAGGCATATATGGTGCATCTGCATATTCTTTTGAATTGTCTT